CGTCACGTGCCTCGACTTCAGCAGCAACGGCAAGTACCTGGCGTCGTGCGCGGACGACCGCACCGTGCGCGTCTGGAGCACCCGCGACTTCCCGGAGCGCGACGCCCGCTGCCTGCGCGCCAACGTGGAGCTGGACCACGCCGCCCTGGTGCGCTTCAGCCCCGACTGCAGGTAGCGCCGCGCCACGGGGCGGCCCAGCCGTCGGCGTCGGGGCGGCTTGGCCCACCCGGGCAGGACAGTGGGTGCAGCAGATTCCCTCCCCTGGACCCCGCTTAGTGGTTGCTGTTACTGGTGTCCAGTTTTTTCTCCCGTCCCTGAGGCTGGACTCGGATTCGTCCAGGCGCTCTCTCCTCTAGGGTGCAGCGTGTTAGGCTTCGTGCGGGCTGCGGTCTGGCAGCAGGAAGCCATGGGGAGCGCCACAGGATGGGGTGGGAAGGTTAGGTGTAGCAGCGCTTTGAAGCACTTTGAGTGTCCGCACAGCACCTCTAGAGGGTCCGGATTTGGAGCGATCCCGGAGCCCTTTCACATGTGAAGCGGGTCAGTCCCTTGGCTGCAGTGGCTACCTCAGCCATGTCCTCAGTTGTGCCTTATCATGCAAAGCTGCAGTCTTTCAAGGTCCTGGTTTAAAGCCAGTCTGTGGTAGGAACCAAACGTTACCTGCTGGCTGCTTGGCTTGCATGGAGTGAGGTGGGAGTCTTGATGTAGTAACCAGCTCAGTGTCTTATGTCACCAAGACCACCGTGGCAGTCGGCACTGTTTATCTTCCCTGTTGATGTTCCATCGGAGAGGCCAAAGGTTGAGGGGGTTCTGGTTTGTCCCTGTCTGGGTGAAGGCCCCTGCAGGTCAGGGCCCCGGTGAGACAAGACACTTGTTTTGCTGTTGCCCATGGTGTGGCTTTGCTCATGGCCATGTGACTTTGGGGTGGTTCATGATATTTGCTGCAGAAGATAACCTCCTCTTTCTCTCAGAGCCTTCATCACCTGGCTGGCTAATGGGGAGACCATTCGTGTGTATAAAATGACCAAGAAGGAAGATGGGAGTTTCACTTTCACTGCTGCCCCTGAGGACTTTCCAAAGAAACACAAAGCCCCCATCATCAACATTGGAATTGCTGAGACAGGTACAGACACAGGGTGGCAGCTCTCTTCTTTCACCTGGGCTCTTAAATCATCTGCCTTTCTCTATTTGAAGAACAGTAACTGCCGGTATGAAAGTTACAGCCTTGGACACACCTGTGGCCTTTTCTGAAAGACCTTGCAGTTGATGTTTCTGCCTCTGCTGCTTCGTAGATAGAATGGATATACTTTGTCACACAGGAATTTCTTCCTGTAAGTGTGAGAAGTAGCTAAACTCACTTTCTCATGCATGTCATCTTGCTTTTTTAGGGAATATACTGAAAAAATGTCAGGTCTCTAATGCAGATTATTCTTAAGCAGTCAGTCTCCTCATAGGTTGACTCATAGAATCAGGAATCTGATGCATGTGCAGAACAGGGGTGGCCAATCTGTGGCACTGGCAGCCTGTGTGTATGGCATGCAGAAGATTGGGGAGGGGACAGGTGGCACAGCAGCAGGTCAGACAGAATGCAGAGCAACAGGTTGGGCAGGGAAAGGGCATCAGAATGGCACTGAGGAAGGTGCAGGGCTAATTTCTGGCATGCCTGCCAAAAAGATTAGCTTGTGCTGACTTAGAAGATAGCGATCCATGTAACGTCTCATGCCCATATTTGCCCTGGGACAGAATTTTTTTGACTAGAGGGACTCATAGAAGAATAGAATGGTCAGAGATGTTTCCTTTGGCATCTCTAATCCAATAATGATGCATGCCAGGGAGGATAATGAACATGGAATAGGTTACTCTAGATCACTGATTCTTAACCAGGGTGCCATGGTACCCTAGAGTGCCTCAAGATCCTTTCAGGGGTGCCACCAGGTGCTAGGCAGTGTTAGCACTTTTAAGTGTACAAACATGACTCACAAGGTAAACTCAGAAATTTCAAATAGGAATCCACAGTGTTAAACATATTCTGACCTGTTGTGATCTTTTGAATTATTTGCAGCAGAAGAATTGCTCTCTTGTTTTTCTGTATTAAAAAATAACTGAAAACTAAGAGCTGTCACTTTCTGAGGGGTCTATCAGGGGGTGCTTTGAGTTTGAAAAGTTTGGGAGCCACTGTTTTAGATATACCTGGTTCAGTGCTCTCCTACAGTAGGGGTGCTCAGCCCCTGGTCTGTGGCTGGTTCTGGCTTGTGGAGTCCTGTCATCAAGCCTATAGGTCTCCCCAGGGGTCCAGAAACTTGGCAGTGGAAGAGTGGTAGCAGTGTTAAATTGCCCTTTCCCTGCTGCCAAATTTCAAGACCTGTGAGGAGCCATACTGGATGGATAAGGTGGCCCTGCATGGCATATTGGGGCAGCATGCAGTTGGATTGGGCCTATGGACTGACCCTGCACCAGTCATTAAGCCCCTCAGGGCCCTGAAGATTGAGCATCACTGCTCTAACACATCTGCTTCTGCCACTGTCAGAGGCAGGATACTGGGTTAGCTGGATCTGACCTAGTATTGCATTTTTTAAGTTCTTACCAGTATAGTATAGCTAGGTTCAAAAAGGGACTATACAGACTAATGAACAGTAGAGAAGGTCCTTACTCCCTAACACTCGAAATGTTCCTGATGGATAAAACACTTAGTTCTAAGTGTCTTATGATCATAGCAAGTTATATAGAATGTAGGTCTCTGAATAGAAGAGGGATGGGGGGTACTTGCTTAAAGATTATAGTATTGAAAAGGGTGTTGCCAATCCTAAATATAGCCTCAAATTTGAAATGTTTAAATGCTGCTTCATCAGGCCCAAGTATTTTGATGAATGTTTAATTGTGCAAGCATTATTTTTAATAAACATGCAGCTGTGATGTTGGCAATCCAAATGCTGCAAAGTAGCTTGATATTACATTGGAAGTGTTTGCTCATTTTTCCTATCAAGATTTAGAGATTCAAAAAGTAACGTGGTCAATATGTGCTGTGTTGTGGGAAAACCTCCTTGGGCAGAAGGTGAGAAGCCACCTTCTCACCTTCACTTTCAGCACCTGTTGACCGACTTGTGCCTTAGCAGTACTGCTGCCCCAGTTAACTGCCCTTTAGAGGGCATGCATGATGGGCACTGGCACTGCATCCAGGCTCATGTGGCAACCAAAGGAGCAAAGCAGATGTCCCTCACCTTTTGAGTCCAGGTTAACTGTAACTGCAGTAGAAAGTCACAAAGAGATGTGTCAGGAAATGAGCATGTAAGGATCTCTTGTTTCTCCTCCCAAAATGAACTTGAATCCCAGTGAGGTGCATGGGTCCTAATCAGACATCAGAGTGGTATTTAAGAGGCTGCTGACAGTGCAGCTTCTTAGTAGCTGCGCTGCAATGGTCTGTGCCATCCAAGCCAGGAAGAAAGTGCTCAGGGAGTGGTATTTTTTCCTAGCCCTTTAAAATAAAGGGGTTCCTTTTGCTTCCTCCATCATCTTCCTCTTGTGTGGTGAAGAGAGTTTCCAGGATTTTACCTTCGTTGGCAGTAGAAGGAACAGCCTTGAAGAAGATGTAGTGCAAGTGTTGGCTTGTCTCTCACCCCACATCTCTTATGGGCCTGTGGGGCAGCATTAACACTGGACCTGGAAGATGTTCTAACTTGAGTCCCTTTTTCCTCAGGGAAGTTCATCATGACGGCTTCAAGTGACACTACTATATTTATCTGGGACCTGAAGGGTGAAGTCCTGGCCAGCATCAACACTAATCAGATGAACAATGCCTTTGCAGCCGTATCTCCTTGTGGGAGGTGAGGAGAGTGTGGATACTGTCAAGAGGTAGCAGGGATTAGGATACTGTCCACTCCTGTATGGCAGGGTGAGGGTTGAAGGGATAAGGTTGGATAGAAGACTGTCTCCTTCCCTAGAAGGGGCATCCTCAGCTTCAGTTTTGTCACTGATTTGATTAAACTTTTGGATGAATACACCTTTTATACAGTGATCCTGGCCCTGAAGCCTTTCAGAAATCATGGAAGGTTTTATGTTCCTCTGCTTGGTTAGTTAGAAAGATATTTGGGAACCTTGAGAGCAGCAGTATCTAGCATATTAGGGGTCTTCTCACCTTCACCATCAGCACCTGTTCACTGACTTGTGCCTCAGCAATACTGTTGCCCCAGTTTACTGCCCTTTGGAAGGCACATGTGATGGGCACTGGCACTGCATCCAGGCTCATGTAGCAACCAAAATAGCAAAGCAGATGTCCTTGAACTTTTGAGTCCAGGTTAATTGTAACTGCAGTAGATGAGAACAAGCTTTTCCTAGCAAGTAATGCACCTTTAGCAAAGATAAGTGTGTAACAGTCTTTCACTGACATGTCACCGCAGTGATGCTGTATGAACTTACCCTGTCTCAGGGCATTTGGGAATGTGACCTCTAGGTGTCTGGGTGTCCCTTGCTGGTCTCAAAGCATGCCATGCCCTGGGTATCCTTTGTGGAGCAGTCTTCTTACAGTCTCCTGTCCCATACTGACTTCCTGGAGTGCCATACACCTGTCACTGTGTAAATGGTGACAAACGGTACTTATTTCCCTAGCGAGAACCCAGGATGTTAACTCAGATCTCTTGATAGGGTCAGCCAGCATCTTGAGCTCTTGCAGCACCCACATCTGCTTGGGTTCCCCCACCTGACTACCTTTAATCTCCCCAGTGTGTTCAAAGAACAGTCAGACAAATAAGGGAGCAACAGCAGTGCATCCTGTCCCCGGTGAAGCACTCTGCCTGGTCTAGCATCATTTGACTGATGTCCTGTTTGGGCTCTCTTCCAGGTTTGTGGCATCCTGTGGCTTCACCCCTGATGTGAAGGTCTGGGAAGTGTGCTTTGGCAAGAGTGGAGACTTCCAAGAAGTGGTCAGGGCTTTTGAGCTGAAAGGCCATAGTGCTGGCGTGTACTCTTTCTCATTCTCTAATGACTCCAGACGGTAAGATGCCCTTTGGCTGCCCTAGATCATGTCCTGTCTAGTATAATCTTCCCTGTGACTGGTTGGGTGATCTCTTCCAGCATAAAGGAGTAATAAGTCAGTAGAGATTCCTTCCTCAGCACTGCAAGTCTCTAAGCACCATGTGCTGAATCGCTCCATCCTGACTGATAAGAAAGTTAGGAAAAGTTGGGGCTGGAAGAGACCTCAGGAGGTCATATTTAGTCCAACTCCCAGCTCAAGGTAGGATCATCCCTTACTAAACTATCCCTGTCAAATGTCTGTCTAGTCTGCTCATCTGTGACAGCAAGTTGGCGTTGATGAGACTGCTTGCCAAGCCAAGGCAGGTTTCCACCTTCTTACTCCCCAGTTCAGATTTCCCTCTTCCTGGTGCATGTTTGTTCTCCCCAACCTTCAATACAACATTTCCCTGGGTACCAGAGTTAGCAGGTCACCAATCAAGCCATCATGGCATGCAGTATCCAGGAGAATGGCTCCTCTTTCCTGGTAGGGTCTGCAGTTTGTAGGGGCTGGAGAAGGGGGAACGGTATTGTGTTGCTCCTTGCAACTGACATGGACATGTCTCTTTTGCTGTAGGATGGCAACAGTTTCAAAAGATGGCACATGGAAGCTGTGGGACACTGACATAGAGTATAAGAAGCAACAAGATCCTTATCTGCTGCTGACAGGGAAATGTGAGGTGTCTGAGCCTTGTCGTATTGCCTTGTCCCCCGATGCCCGGGTAATGGCCATCTCTTGTGGCACTAGTATCATTATGTACAACACCCGAAGGGGAGAGGAGGAGGAGCGCTTTCTCAACGTCCACGGAGAGTACATCACGGACTTGGCCTTTGATATTAACAGTCGTTACTTGGTGTCGTGTGGAGACAGGGCCATCCGGGTGTTCCACAACACAGCAGGCTACCGGGCTGTGATGGAGGAAATGAAAGGGATGCTGAAAAAAGCTACTAATATGGCCACCAGAGAGAGACTGCAGCAGCAGATCACAGATGCCCAGAGTGCACTGGACAGTATTTCAGCCAAGGACTAACCTCAGTCTACTGGGATCAGTGTATGTGCAACCTCTCTGAGGTGGAGAGCTTTGCACTTTGCATTTATTGGGATTTTAATACTGAATTGAGTGCTAATAAAAATGTACAGACTGCTCAACCCGTTGGGGTTCCCTTGTGTATTTCTAAACAGAGTTGGAGAGCTGGAAAGCTGAGTGGCAGAGGTGGAGATGGTTTAAAGAGGCCATATGATGGGAAGTAGCTGCCTAGGGAAGATTATGAAAGGGAGGAAGCCTGTAATTACCCTAAAACTTCATTGATCCTGAGCTATGTTATGAGGTTCCAGACCAAATGGGAGGGTAGTTCTTGTGTGAGGTAGTTAGAGCACAGATGATGAATGCCTTTTAAGGAGCTGTGAAATGGCTTTGCGGGGGTGAAGCGCATCTAGGGAGAGAGAGATTTTTCTGGGCTTGCTCCAAACTTTGGAACTCTTCACAGTTGCTAAAAATCTAAGGTATTGGCCTGGAATGTAGCAAAAGCTTGCTGGCATGCTAAAAATGCAAAACAGCAGTGAGCAGTAAACCTAACATTTAGTTTGAGATGGCAGACAGCCTGAATTTGGACTACAAAAAAACAGTTCTTAATGCTTACTGGGGTTGTGTAACTCGCCTCTGGGAAAGTGATTCAACATCTTTGGCAACAGAATTATTTTTTCCTTCTAAATGTTAATACTAGAACTATAGATGAGATTCCTTTGGGGCTGAGTGTAGTCTTCTGTATCTTGTTACTGGTCATGCTGCATCTTGAGATGCAGCAGCAGATTACTTTGGTGACAGGACACAGAGAGGACAGTACATTACTAAAATACTAGCAGGATGAACAGGGAAGTGTCTCATAAGGGATCTCTGTTCTGTTCCTTATGTGCAAACCAGCACATTTTACTCCCACTTACAGTGATGGCAGAACAGTTCTACTGGGCAGGTCCTGCCATCTGCACTTGCAGCTAAAAGCTAATGGATATTTTAAAATATCCTGGTTTTGAAACAGAGGTAGTAAAGTAGCCTGGGATTCTGCAGTACAATAGTGTTTCTGTACAGAGGTGTGTAGTATACATAACAGCCAATAGGGCCTAGGCACTTGGTGTTGAAAACAAATACTTTCTGTGGGTTGTGTGCCCCTATTAAATGTCAGGGTGACTGAGCCCTGTGGTGCGCAGTTCATGCTGGGATCCTGTGTGGGATGGAATTCTAGTTGTAAGGTTAGGTTTTAATGAGCCCTGAAACCTGACACAAGAGTGTTTTGGGAGACACTAAAACTAAAGTTCTGCTGCCATAGACAAATGTATCACTAATAGGATCCTAGGCTGGATATGACCTAATGCAGGGGTGGCCAACCTATGGTCTGTGCGCCACAAGTGATGTGGGCAACCTCTATAGGGCATGCAGCACTTGAAGGGAGGGTAGATGAAGAGCAGAGCACTAGAGGGTCCAGAGGGGAGGACTGGACTGGCACTTGGAGGGGGTGGGACTATTGTGGCATGACTGTCACAAGGCTGCCCCACCCCCTGAACTTAGGGTTGACCCCTCTTCTTTTCCTATTAATATTTTGCAATGTGTCAAATCTCCCCCAATACCATGTGATGCAAGTGCTTTGTGCTGCTGTGCACAATGTGGCGGTGGAGTGCTCTTGCTATTAATGCCTGATTTGCTGACTTCAGAGAGTATCTGAAACATGGCTCTGAACATTGTTGTTGATGCAGCCCAGCTGTAAAGGTGAAATGTTCCTGTAAAAGGGTAGTCAAGAAACCCTGATTTAAGTCACATACTTTAATCTTGTATTCGGATTATTTACCCATGTCTGTATTTTGATTCTCAGTTCTTAATTTTTTATTACATAAAAAATGCCATGGATTCTGCCAATGTCCAATTTCCTGCTTATTTTAATGATTTGTCACCCTCCATTAAAATTCAGTTAAATATGGACGAAGGCAGCAAATTAAGACGGTTTTATGACTGGGATAGTGGAATACGTGTTTTGCCCTTAATCGCTGTGGACCATATTCTCCAGCTGCTCCCGTGGGGCCTTCCCAGCAGGAAGGGAGACGGGCGGCCTCTGCAATTGCAGTCCAGCAAGACCCCCAGCGCCGCGGACCAGTGCGGTGGGGCTCAGCCCACGGGCTCTGCCCGCCGGATCAGGACCTGGGGGCCGGGCTCGGGCCAGGAGCGGGCCCCACACGCCACGGTCTGGACTCGTGCCCCCGGGCGAGCAGCAGCCAGCGCCGCCGCCGCTTCCTCACGGCCCAGGTCAGCTCTGCTGGGCTTGAGACCCGGCGGGGCGGGG